TTTTTTATATTAAATAAATATAAAATATTTATAAATAAAAGATTAAAAATAATATTTTTTAAATACATTTTTTTTAAATAAAACTTAAAAACAAAATATTATTTTAAATAAAAAATTAAAAATAATATTTTTTAAATAAAAAATTAAAAAAAATAATCACAATTGAAAAAAAGATTTTATTGAAATAAATTAGTGAAAATTATTATTATACTAATTATTTTAGTATTCCGAAATAATAGGAAATATATTTTAAAGTCTAGTTTTTTTGTTTAAAATAATGATTCCCATATTTTTTTTATTTTTAAAATCTATTTTTTTAATTATAGTTTTAAAAAAATAATTTTCATTACATCTTTTTGATTTTGAAATAATTTGTATGAAGGAAAATATTTTGATTTCAGAAATATTTTAAAATATACAAACATTTTTCTACTTCGTTTAATAAATGTAAAATTTGTATTATTATTTTCCAATAAATAAATTAATTATGAATTTAGGAATTTTTTTGACAAAATAGGAATTTTAAATTAAAATTAATTTGGTTCTTCCTAAATATTTTGTTCTTTTTTATCCATAAATTAATTTGTGGTTTTTTAATACTTTCCATTGCCAAGAGATTTGACTATTTTTCATAAATTTGTCATAACAATAAGATATTTATTTTTTCCATTTTCTCACAATTTATCAGGTATTTTTCCTTAAATTTTTAATATATTCGTCACTCAGTTTTAAATTGATTTTAAAGCCTATTTATATCTTTTTTCATTTTCCATTCCAAAAAAAATCCCATTTCACCTTTCTGAGCTAGACTTTTTATTTATTCCCTTCCCTAATTATCATTTTTTCCATTAGCATTACAATGGCTATTTTATTCTGATTGTAATTCCTATTCTCTTTTCCCCCATTTACTATTCATATTGGAGAGTTTACAAGAGTAAACTATTGAATAGGATTTTATAAAGAGAATGTAATCATCTCTTTTGTATTTTTGGAGAGTCCGCTTGGAGTTTCTCAATGAACCCCCCAAACCAACAACAATGTGTTGTAATTTTTTTTTAATTCATAGAACTGCTTGTTCTTATTACAACAACGGTATTTAGTCACTCTCTCTCTCTCTCTCTTCTACATTAATTATTGTTTTTTCTACGAATCCGTTTTGTGTGGGTATTTCTCCCGCTCACACAATTGCGGTTTAATTTCTTAATTCCTTTTCCTCGTTTTCTTTTTCGTCGTCGTTTTTTTTTCTTATTGTCATTTTTCCATTTTTCCTGTGGGGGCCTTCCTCGCCTCATACAAATGGTCGAGTGTGTGTGTGTTTGTTTTCTGTATTGAAACGTGGAACATGGACAAAAATGTTACGCCTTTTTGAGTTTCGTAATGTTTAGTTGGCTGTCTGTGTTGTGTTTCTTCATGCACAGAGAGTAAAGGCATGCATGGTGCTCTGTTGTCTGCTGCTGCCTTGTGCCGCCGTCAGGCCAATTCGTCCCCGTTTGGCTTGGCATACATATCCACACACACACACACACTTGTATAATGATTGATCTCCTTCCCCCATACATGGATTGTTGTTGAGTTTTACATGAATACATTTAGTTGTTGTTGTTGCTTCATCTAATATTATTTAACTATTTTTGTTGTTGGTTTTGTTTTGTTTTTGGCTGTACCTCACAATGTGTGGAAATCTAAGCCCTTTATGTTTCTCTCCGTCTACGCTTTTAAGCCTAACTTTTTTAATGGGTGGCAATAATGTGTGTGTGAGGGTATTTGTTATGTGATTTTCCCCCACATTTTTTCTTCTTTTTCTATGTGCAGGGCTTTAAACAATCTGTTGATTGTTGAGTGCCTGGCACCCCACCCCTAATGGCTTTGCCTTTTTCGATCAAAGTATCAGTGTCTTCATGTGTGTGTGTGTCTGTGCGTGCCTGTGTTTGCCTTTAAGTGGGGGTATAATAAAAACCCAGCTTTGACAATGCGTTCGTTCGGCTCGTTCGTACGTTATTGCGTTTCACAATTTTGTTGTCGTTTTTTTATGGCAACGAGGACATTTATGATGAAAACAGAATAAAGGTATTTTGTGTGTGTGTGTGCTGAGTGGCTGGTGGGAATGGGAAGAAGGAGGGGGATCTCTGTTTCTAGTATATCTAACAGTATTTGATTGTTGTTATTGTACTCGGTTGTGGTGTAGCCGTTTGTTGTTTGTTGGGATGCAGTCATCTGTGACGTGATCTGTTTAAAATGTTTTTCTTTTTGTATTTTAGGATGGGTGTGTTGTGTTGTTTGGTTTTCCATCCGTTTCACTTTGCCTTTGCTAGGCTGACTTGCTGGCTTGTTGATCATTTTTTTTGTTTTGTTGTTGTTGTAGTTGTTGTTTGCCGTTGTTCTCGCCGTCGTGGTTTATTTTTTTTTCTCTCTTCACTTAAAATGTTGTGTTTGGGTCATTATCTCGTTGTTTTTATCTATTTCCGTTTTGAAATTAAATTTTTTTGAGGTTTTCGTTGCTGTTGTTGTATTTTCCTTGCTTGTCATAGCTAGCTAGTTTCCTGTCTTTAACCCTTATGAATAAAAAAACGAAATGTTTTTTTTGTAAATATAATTTTTTGTTTGAATTTCAAACCGGTTTACGTTCTTTTTTTAATTCCTTTACATCCACACACTTGTTGTAACCTTATTATTTACAAGGCAATGCCTTTTATTAGAAATGTTGGTTACTGGGGTTGTTGTAATTTGAAAGTTGTTTCATTAATTATCTAATTTCAATTGGTAATTATTCCTTTCAACAGTGTAATTGTTTGAATCTTTTAAGGGTCCTTTATACAGCAATTTTCATTCGATTTTTAATTTTTAAAGTTTCGAATTGTTTATATTCTCATTATGTATTTGCAAAAATTTGACTGAGGTGAATTCCTTTAAAAACTCACCATTCTCTGGAAACTCTGGTAAATGATTTAATTTCATGCATAGGAAAACCAATTTTTCTTGATTTGTTAATTTTCATAGAAATTCTGTGTCTTAAAAATTTCCTGAAAGAAATTTTGTAAAAATAACATTTTCTTCACATTATAAATAATTTTCTTTCCCGATTTTCATAAAATTTAAGGTGTGGTGAATTTTTTCCAAAACTCACCACACTTTGGAAACTTGATGAAACGATTTATTTTAATTTAGGGATTCGTTTAAAAATATCGTTACAATTTTCTCTTTAGTTTTTATTCATTTTTATATCATAACATTTTTTTCTACGTGAGATTTTTCTGTAATCATAATTTTTTTATATTGACAATAATTTTCTGTTTTTATTTCCATCCATTTTTAGGTGTGGTGAATTTCTTAAAAAACTCACCACACTGAAAAAAGTGTGCCAAAAAATCAGATTTTTATTGAATATTCAAGAAAAAATATTGAAATAAATTTTTGGCAAATAGAAACCACAATAAAAGCCGTTAGATTTTTTAAAAGTTCTGTAAAAAATATAAAAATGTTTATAATTATTTTTTCTTTTTTTCAAATTTAAAAAATTCAATTTTTATTATTTTTTTTTAATTATTTTCATTATGTTATTAAAAAATAGGATTTTCAATATTTTGTTCATTATAAAATTATAATTGTTTTAAATTGTTGTACATTTAATACTTTTTATAACTCAACATATAAGCGGAATCCTGTCCTTTTTGTAATTGCTCTTTCAAAATTTTTTATAATATATTTGATTGTCCTGCGGCCCCCCATTCTTCCTCTCTCTATTTATTACTACTTTTTCTTTGTGCTCTGCCGCCAACATTACTTCCTTCTTTCGTGGTATATTTTATTTCTTTTTTTATTATTTTCTTGTGTTATTCTTCCTTCTCTTCCATTCATATTCCATTGTGGTTTTGTAGTGTTTTTTATTTTGTGGCTAGAAAATTGCATAGCATATTCGTTCTCCTCCTGCTGCTACTGATTGTTTGCTGTTATTTTTTGCGGTCCAATGAATTTGTTTTTTTTTTCTTCTTCGCGTTTCATTTTGAGATTCCTTGCTCCTAGACTTTTGGTTTTTTGGTGGGCTGTGTTGAGAAATCAGAAAAAATTGTGCGGTTTTTATGTTTCCATCATCGTCATCAACATAATGAGCGGCGCGACCCCATTTACCGCTCTCTGTCTCTTATTTTTCTTCACTCTCTCCCACTCTCTGTGAACTCATCAGAAACAGAAAATGATTTTTTTTTTATACAAATCATCACGAAGATCCTTTGTCTATTTTTAGCCATGTTTGGGGTCGGTGGGAATCGGACGAAAACGAAAAACCATTCGCCGTATGTTTCATCAGCACCAAGAAGAAAATTTTGTTTTGTTTATCTCCTCCTCGAAAAACATTCGGCAAAAGAAAAAAGTGTATCCGTGTGAAAGTCGATTTAAGACTAAAGAAAAAAAATTTCACATTTTTTCGGCTTCTGTTTGTTGTTGCTGCTGCTGTTTCTCAAGATTTGTGCTGATGCGGTTGTCGTTTTTCAGTTTTTTTATTTTTATAACACGAAGGAAATAAAGGTGAACGGGGGAGGATGGGTGAATGAAGGGAGGGAGGGGGAGGGTGTCTTTATAATCTATAACATACCGCCCGCCACTCATCTATTAGGCAATACACAGAGGCTAAATTTAGCCTCCCAAAACGCATTCAAGGAAGGAATATTTTTTTCTCAAATGTTTGGATGACTAAAGAAAATCATTTTCCAATTCCTAGAATATCCAAATTCAACTTTTTTGTTTATTTTATAACTCATACTAATTCCTTTCCTTTTTCTTCTTTCATTACAGGAGTTCTTTTTTTGATAAAAATGTTTTAAACAAGGAGTTGACATAACCTCAAGAAGAAGCATAATTTTCCTGAAACAAAATAAAAAAAATTACAAAATAGAAAGGATTTTGTGAAAATCCTTTTTTCCAAAATTTCTATCTCTCTACTCGGATATATTGTTTCCCTCTTCCTCCTCCCCGCCAAGAAAACGTTTTTGATAAACGTAACGACGGCCTACAAATGAAGATGGCTTCGCAGAGATTTTGTTTGCGATGGAATAACCACCAAAGTAATCTATTGTCGGTATTCGATCAGCTATTACATGCCGAAACATTTACGGATGTTACATTGGCCGTTGACGGTCAATATCTTAAAGCACACAAGGTAAGTTGAAAAATCCCCTTATCACATTTTCCAAATTCCAACTAATTTTTGCCTTGTCTTCTCTTTTTCACAGATGGTTCTTTCCGCCTGCAGTCCCTATTTCAATGCCCTCTTCTTAAATCATCCCGAAAAACATCCCATTGTCATTTTAAAAGACGTACCCTATGCCGACATGAAATCTCTATTGGATTTTATGTATCGCGGTGAAGTTTCTGTCGATCAGGAACGTTTGACGGCATTTTTGCGTGTGGCTGAAAGTCTACGCATCAAAGGTCTCACCGAAGTCAATGATGATAAACCCAGCAATAATGAACCCACACCCCAACCGCCACAATTGCAACGCATACAACCATATGTTGTACAGCAGCAGCAACAACAACAGCGTCATAAATCCCACCAAAATAATAATGGTTCCCCTTTGGGTGCCGCCGCCGCCGCGGGCGCCAATTCCCAAAAAAGCCAACAAGAATCGCTACTAACATTGGCATTAGCATCTATGCCCAAACGTAAGCGGGATATGTTGGCCGCCGGCAATGATCAATCGGCGGCTGGACCTCAAATTGCTAGTGTAACAGGTCAACCAAAAGCTAGACAACAACAGCAGCAGCAACAAGAATCCCTATTAACATTGGCCTTGGCATCAATGCCCAAACGTAAACGTGGCAAGCCACGTAGGCTATCGGGTAGTGATGATGCTGACTATGATGAATTTGATGGTGAAATGGGCAATGAAGGTGGTAAAATGTGCAATGAATCATATTCCGGCAACGAGGATGCGTCCGATGATAATCATCGAGATTCTGGAAATCATGATGATTTAAATGTAAGTCGAAAAACAAATAACATTTTTAGTTTTATACAAAAAATCCAAAAACCTTAAGAAAACTATACAGCAATTTCAATTTTGGCTTAAAAGTATCCCTGGGAACTTTGAAAATGTCTAAAACTAAATTTTTTTAACAACATTTTAATGCTTTTTGTCATTTCTGCAAAAAATCGGGTGTGGTGAATTTCATAAAAAACTCACCACACCTTGAAACATGTGCGAAATTTTTCTTTTAATTCGCACATTACCTTAAAAATAAAATTACATGTCTTATCAATTTTTTTAAGAAACTATTCACCCCAAAACCAACTTCCGAACATTTTTTATAAAAACTGATAATTGTTTTCGATAATATATGAGTTGCAAACTTCATTTCCACAATAATCCAGGTGTGGTGAATTTCTTTAAAACTCACCACACTTCAAAAAATGATGCCAAAAATTTCTATTTTTAAGGCAATGCCATAAAAAATATTTATTAATTTGTAACATTTAAAATTTACAACAAAATTATAATTTTTATAAGAAATTGCAAATTAAAAATAATTAAAATATTTAAGTTCCCAAAAAAATTGCAATTTTTGGTAGAAAACATATTTTTTTTAAATTATTTCTTTTTAATTAAATTCAGTTCGTGTATATTATTTTATTTTTATCAAAGAAACAAATATTAATTTAATTTTTTTTTTTCGTTTTATAGGAAAGTCGCGACTCCCTCTCCCCCTCAAAGAAAGCTCAAATGCAACAACACGATGATAACAGTACTTCCGGTAAGTCCTCGTTTCTTGTTTTTTATTTTATTTCATTTCTTCAATACTCTCTCGTTGGGCATCAAACCTCAATAATTTCATATATCATTTACAAGATAATAATACAAAATCACCTGCATTTTTCTGTTGTATAAAAACAAATCGAAAAAAGTCTCACTTTTTGTAAATAATTTTTCATCATTCAACATCATTTATCTTTCTTGGAGAAAAAAAAACAGATGCACCATAAAACAAAAAAACTAACCTAACTTTTTTATTATAACGCGATTTGTTAAATTAGATTAGACGATGAATCGGAAAAGCTAAAAAGGGATTTGTTTTTTTATTGAGAAAAAGATGAAGGGAAATCGACTCAACTCTGCGTGGAGTTGTGTGTGTGCGCCTTCGTTGTTTTGAAGTGTGAAACAAGTGTTGTTTGAAAGAAAATTAAAAAAAGTGTTTAGTGATTTTCGAATTTCGGTAAAATAGAACAAAAAAAATCAGACATACGTTTAACGTCGGCAGGTGAGTTCGAAATGAAATTTTGGAAACGTATGATGCCGTTTAAAGTAAAAAAGAAGATAACAAATTTTGCAAATAACGAAAAATAGAAAGCTTTGTAAAAATAAATTCAAAATCATGGAAATCAATCGGTATGAGCTTTTAGGGATTTATGGCCGACGTAAAAAAATCGTATAAACGTTTTGTAAAAAAAAAATTAAAAAAATAAAAACAATTACCATTTTCGAAAATCTTTAAACCCAAAATTTCGTTTCAAACAAAACAAAATTTATATTTCTTAGCATTTAAGCACAAAAAAAAAACAATAACAACAAAACAAATACCACGCCGTATATAAAAATGAAAACATGGCTTGAAATCCCTATAGCTTTTCCGATCACAAAATTTTTTAAGGTTATGCAGTATAATATATAATGCTATATATTTTTGTTTTTGTACTCTTTTTCATAACACCAACAAAAATAAATTGTAAAATAATAAGAACAACAACAACAAAATATAACACTGCAAAACTTTCTTATTTTTCGTCTTATTTGTAAAAGCGGAGGTTGTCTTTTTGTAATTTTTTTGAAATAAACGCATTGTACATTTTCACCACACCCCCACCCCAACAAGCTCCTTTTAATCCCCCTCCCCACCCACACAAAGAACATTATTCATTTAAGCGATTCGTTTCACCTTTTTTATAGATGGCAATGACAGTGATAATGATGAACCCATGGACACATCATATATGGAACCACAATTAATGCTAGATGAATACGATGAACCCGTCGAATTTAAATTTGACCCGAATGCCAACGATTCCCAGGAAAACAGCAGTATGTCAAATATGTCGCAACAGCAGGCCCGCCAGCAAGCCCTTTTTCTAGCCGCCCAACAGAAACATCAACAAAATATGGTTGAGGCTGCTGCTGCGGCGGCTGCCGGTGGTCTCCAGATGGCCGGTGTTGCTGGTATTCAGTTCAATTCAATGGTTAGCATACCGAAATTGGCACCACTTGTCAAACCTGTCAAGCCAAAGATTAATAAACGTGTTAAGTTGAAGCAAAATGGTGTTGATGTTAAGGTAAGCCTTAGGAGGAGAATACAACACAAAATTAGTTTTGTTGTCAATGGAAATTTTTGGTTTTTCTTTTTAATTTTTTTACGGGAAATTATTTTTTTTAAGTTCGAAATAATTATTTATATTTAAATTTGAATTTTTCATGCAAATATTTGATTATTTCAAGCTGTGGTGAATTTCTGAAAATTTTTAAAAAAAATACCACACCCAAATTTTTGCACAAAATCTTAAATTTTCCATTATTTTTCTATACGAAATATTTTTTTTTAATTTTATTGTTAAATTTTCAAAGTATTTTCCATAAAAAATTTACCATAAAAGGTGAAAAAGAGTTCAATATATTTAAAATTTTTGTTGAAAAGTGTCTAGTATTGCTCTCTATATTATTTAGAACATTACTAATTTGTTATACATGCCAAATTCGATCGATTTTAGCAAAATTTGAAGTGTGGTGAATATTCGAAAAAATTCACCACACCGAAATTTTTATAGAAAATTGCAATTCTTTCAAAATACTTTTCAATTAAATTATTTATTTAATTTGTATTTAATATTTTCATATTTTTTTAATGAAATATTTTTCAAAATTTGAAAAATATTTCAAATTAAATTTTTAAAATAGTACAAAATTAAAACAATTTTTTTTAAAATAATTTGGAGCAATAATTAATTTTTTAACTAAAATTGCTTTTTTATTTCTTTATTTTTTTTTTCATTAAAAAATTAAAAAATTCCAAACACTGAATATTTTAATATTTATCAAATAAATCATTTTGCTTTGGTCTTAAGATTTTTAAAGAAACCAAAAATTTCGAATACATTTCTTTTTTCCTATCAGAATGGAATTTTATTAACCTATTTATTTTTTTATTCATTTTTTAGCCCTTCGCCAACACAGCCGACTACATGGAAATGCTCTCAGCTGGCAACTATTTGAATTCCGCCCAATTACAAAAAATGAAATCTGCATTGAGTGCCAGTACGGGCAGCCTCAACGTTAATTCCCCACCACCCAAAACCAAATTGAATACTTCATGCAATTCCATTATCGAAGGCGAAGGTGAAGGTTCTGTACGGGATTATTGTACCAAAGAGGGTGAACATACCTATCGCTGTAAAGTTTGCTCTCGTGTCTATACGCATATTAGCAATTTCTGTCGCCACTATGTAACCTCCCACAAGCGTAATGTCAAAGTCTACCCGTGTCCGTTCTGTTTCAAGGAATTCACACGAAAGGATAATATGACGGCGCACGTTAAAATTATCCATAAAATTGAGAATCCAACATCGGCATTGGCCTCAGTGGCGGCGGGTAATCCCATACAATTGCCCGGACAAATGTCACAGGCTGGGTCGCAGAATGTGAGCGCCTCGTCAACGCCAACACCACCCGATTTGAATGTTCAGACATCAAATCAATCGGGTAGTGGTATGAGTAGTAGTATGGCTGGTGCCAATATGAATATTATGGGTGGCATTGCGGCAAGTGTCGGCTTGAATCCAGCAACACCAACCCAGGGAGGCTTGTCATCATCATCAGCATCATCTTCCTCAGTTAGTTCACCACCGGCGGCAGCGATGGCAACATCAACACCCACGCCCACACCAACACCGGCAGCAGTGGCGCAGTGAAATAACACTGCCGGGCAGGAGCATACTATTATTAATAGTATATTGGTTTAAGATTGTGTATAAATTATTTAAGCAAAGGTTTTGGCTTTTTTGTTTATTATGGAAATAGTAAAACCCACCACCCCCATCCCCAAACCCTCTTATTTTCTTTTCTCCTTTTTAATAGTTCTTTATTTTTTATATAAGGAAATTAGAAAAAACGTTATGCAATTATTTAATTAATAATTCCCAAATACCATTGATTAGGCTGGGACGACGCGGACATACACACAATTCTGTAATATATAACATTTTTTGAAAACAAATTATGATGTAGCTTTTAAAGTAAAGTAAAAAAAAAGGAATTCGAAAAAAATATTTAATGAAAAAAGGCTTCCAAAATATTCCAAAAAAATCTAAAAAAAATATTTTTTCTTTAAAAAAAATTAATTTATAAAAAAATTTAAATATCATTCTTTTCCATTAAATATAATTACAATTAAACACAATTTTTCACACCCCCTATCCCCTTCTGATGAAAGTTGAAACCACCCCACCCGGTTTAAAGATTTCTTTTTTAAAAAGAAACTTTGAAAAAAAAATTAATTTTTCTGGGAAAAATTTCAAATAGTTTTTCTTTTTTGTTATATTTTAAATTTAATTTAATTTTATTATTTTTTAATTTTTCTGTTATCATTTTTTTAGTTTATTTGCAAAAATATTTACTTTTTTCTTTTCAATACTGTTATAATGTTGCAAAAAGAATTTCCTAGGAAATTCTCAATCATTTTTTTTTGTTTTACAAAACTTGTTTTCTTTTTTCCCAATTTTCAAAAATTGTCTCAATCCCCCAATTTTCTCTTTTTCTTTATGAAAATTTCGAATTTTCTTTAATCTTTGTAACTTTATAATTCTTTGAAAATCGTATTGGCTGCAAGTGAAATTTTGACAATATATTTTAAAACAGAGAAAGGATATATAACCTCTCTCCCCACCCCCACCCCGCCTCTATTCTATTTTTTTGTCTTTTATAAGTATGTGTGCAATTAATTCTATTTTTTTAGATATTTAGTTAATAATTTAATTTTATATAAGCACTATCCTCTTTTTTATATATATAAAAAAATACATATATAATAAAATATTTATAATTTAAAATATGTAGTAATATCATAAACTATGTAATTTCATTTTTTTTCAAACTTTACACTGCTTTTTGGAGTTTTTTTTATTTTGAGAGAAACCTCAACATGGTTTAACACATTTTCACCATAGAGTGCCTTAGCAATTCATGAAAAAATAGTGTACTTGTTCCAATCAACACAAACACTAGATACTAGTAGAACTTCATATAAAACACAAGAACTTATCTAACAACAAAAATCTTAGTTAAATTTTTTCACATTATTTTTAAAAAATACAATTAAGTTTAATATATAAATCATTTGTATAAAAAAAATGAAAAAAGAAAAATCTAAAAAAAATCCTAGTTGAAATCAAATCATTCAAGAATATTGAAAAAAAATACATCTACCTTGTTGCCTTCAAAGGAAGCTAATTCTTTAACTTTAACAAAAAAAAACACACAATTAACAAAGTTTTAGTATATTAATATAAAAAAAAACAAATCACCATTTAAATTTTTTGTAAATTAATTGAATTGCTGGTTAGTTTTTTGTTTTTAATTAAGATTTATTTATTTTCCCCACCCTCAACTAAATTCTAAAGCTTTCTTTCAACCCACACAAATTTTCCACATTTGTTTTTTTTTCTCTTGTAATATAACAAACATTTTGTTTATATAAATATATATTTTTTTAATAATAATCATAACAATATTTATATAATTTTTTTGCAAAAGAAAATATATAAATCGGAGGCTTCATAATATCGCCAAAGAACTAATTTTTTATATAAATTACCCCATAATTAATTATTAAAACAAACAAAAAGAAAGAAAGAAAAAATATGAAATTAAAAAAAAACATTGCAAAACAATTTCCAACTTCCCCAGCAATAATATGGTTAATGTTTTTATTATTATTATCATTATAATAATGTTAATTAATTTTTTATTATTATTAATACTTGTATATTATTATCACCCTTTTTTAAATTAATTTTTTTATGTACAGCATTAAAACAAAATTAAACTGCAAAAAACAAAACAGAAAACAATTTATTATATATTAAACATAATTTAAATAAATCAATTAATTATATTATTACAAAGAGAGAAATACAACAACAACAAAAATTAAACAATCAACACACACAAAAAACGCAATTTTTTGTTTTATTTTCTTTTTCTAGGGAAAGAGGAGGAGAGTTTTTATTTAAAAATGTTTTTGAAAAAAACAAATTTTTTAACTATTTAACGGTACAAACTAAGGTGTGGTGAACTATGTTTTTATTTCACCATACCATTGCGTAAAAATACATGTTATGTTTTCTGATTTTTATTTTATTATTACTTTTTTTAATATGTAATTTTTCTAATGTTTTATATGCAAATCATTTCAAAATTAATTTTTGAAAATGTTTGAAAAATCAAGTTTTTTTAGATTTTTTTATTAATTTTTTTACATTTTTAGTATTTTTTTAACTTTTTTCTTAAACAAAATTCTCAATAAAATAATTCTTTCTTAAAAAAAAGTAAAAAATTATATTTTGTGAAAAACTATTTTTTTAAAAATTTTGAAATTTTTCATAAAAAAAAATCTCAATACAATATTTTTTTCAGCATATTTTTTTCCCCCTCCAAAAAAAAGATTGTATTCCATTTTTTTAAATTTTTATTGAAACGCAATATTTTCTAATTCTTTATTTTTTCTGCTTTAAAATATGAAAATTTTCAGACGATTTTATACGCAATTCTTTTCAAAATGCTATTCTATTATGTGCAAAACTCATTTCAAAATCATTTTTTTAATGCTAAAATATTTAAATACTTCAAATCTGCAAAAAATTAGGTGTGGTGAATTTCATTTTAAACTCACCACACCCATGAAAATGCGCTAAATTATAATAGTTGTTTACCTCTTTTGTGTTAAGTAATTTTTAGATTTTGTTTTATGCATTTTCAGTAAGTTTTTAAACTTTTTTTAAATTTCCAAAATTAATACGTTATTAAATTTAGCCAAAAATTTGAATTTTCAAATCGTGAAAAATTTGAAATTGGTATATTTATTAGTTCTAGCTGTGAGCAATAATCGAAATTCATTGAATTTAAGGTGTAGTGAATTTCCAAAAAAAACTCACCACATAAAAATTAATTTTCCAAATTCTTTATAATTAAGTTTCCTTTATGAATGTCATACCCATTTGTCTGTAGAAGTTTTATTTATTTTACTACATGTGATTTTTCAATATTTTATAACGAATACTTTCGGACAAAAATGGAAAATATTTTTTAATATATTATTTTGATATGAAAATTGATTTTTTCTACTTTTTTCAAAAATGAATTTTTATTTATGAAAATTACATACTTTTTTAATTTTTTACTTTCAAAATTTTTTTTAATTGGGGTCAATAAATTGTATGACATGTTCGTCCCTTAAAATGAATCAATATTAAAAAATTGTGATGTCCAATACCTGTAAAGGTAACGAATATTCAAAATCCATTGATTTTTAGGTGTGGTGAATTTCTGAAGAAACTCACCACACCGAGGAAATTTTACCAAAATGCACAAAAAAGCGTTGTGATGTAAGAATAGTCATAAATATATTTAAATTTTAAAGATTTCACTTTTAAATAACGCCTTAACCAATTTTTATTCTTAATTTGAATCATTTTTATTTTTTTTTAAATTAATTTGTAAAAATTTTATGTTTTTCTCTAATTTTCTTCCAGTACATCTCATAACCAGTAGTCCTGAATTATCACAAAGACTTTTTGGCAGCAACAGCAGCATTACTACAACATCGGGAAATACAACAACAGGCAACAATACCATGGTTAGCAGCAACAATACGGCTATGATTTCCTTAGTACCACAACAAAATCGTGTCCAGGCCGCGCAGCCACAGGCCATTGAATTCAATGATAATATAAATAATGTACATTTGCCCACTGTGTTGGGTTTGAAATTCAAAAATAATTTACAGCAATGTAATTCAGATAATCAAAATAAAGGACAGCAACAACAACAGTCACAACAACAAAATATGTCAATGACCATAACATCATCTTCACAGGCTGGTACAACACCTTCAACAACAAATCCCAATTCATTGTTGAAGCAACAATTACGGGCTGGTCTGAAAGATCTAATTGATGTTACATTGGCCAATGCTGGAAGCAACCACAACAACAGTAACACAAATCAACCAATTTCGACAACATCCTCCAGTGATTTGGTATCCTCCACCCACATGGACACCCAAGAGGCCTGTTCAGCTCTGCAATCTTTGGCCAATGCTGCCGAACGTCAAGCTGCCCAAAATAGCAACAGCATCCAACCACCATCAGCCAATAACTTACATCATCAATTCCTATTACATATGGCTGCCAATCCCATCATGAAATCCGGAGGAGACTTCTTCCAGCAGCATCAAAACGCCTTGCTGCTGAGAGAAGATGACAACAATTTAGATTTGCTTATGGATCAAAGTGATAAATCGGATCCGGAAATGTTAACGCTGGCCGACGAAAATGCTGGCTTGGACTATAGCACGGGAAATGAGGGTGTGGGACCTGGTGGTCAAGGAGAAAATAATGAAAATCTCGATAACTCCCACTCCAACAATTCCATGAACCAGTCATCCAGTGGCCAGAACAGCGGTAGTACGCCCCGTAGTAAAAACGGCAAACCAATACAACGTCGTCGGGTACGGCGTAAGGCGCAATCCTCAATCGATGATCAAGCTGAACAGCTGACAGAAATGTCGGTACGCGGACTGGATCTGTTCCGTTATGCCAGTGTAACCGAGGGCGTCTACCAGTGTACCGAATGTGCCAAGGAAAATATGCAAAAGACTTTCAAGAATAAATACAGTTTTCAACGTCACGCCTTCCTCTATCATGAGGGTAAACATCGTAAAGTATTCCCATGCCCGCTGTGCGGCAAAGAGTTCTCACGTCCCGATAAAATGAAGAATCACATGAAAATGACCCATGCCTCGTTCATGGCCAAGGAGATACAGAATTTCAATCCTTTAAATTATTTGATCAGTGCTGCTGCCGCCGATGAGCTACAAGCAAATTTTGGAAGTAATACTACTGGTGGTGGTGGTACGCCAACAAGCAATACCACCTCCAGCACCACCACCACATCACAGCCATTGATGATAAGTCAATTACAGTCTTCCAATCCAGCCCTAAGTATTATGATTAACAGCAACAATGGTGGTGGTGACGATAACAAAGAGGAGGAGGAAGAGTTCCTTCGAAATTTATCACAACAACAAGAAAAAGAGAATTTTCAACAAGATCAGCAACAACAACAACACATTAAACTTTCCACCGATATTGAAATAAAAAATGAAATTATAATCTCACCATCACCCTCACCACCACCAGCCTCATCTATTGCCTCCTCCTCCTCAACATTGTTACATCAATTACCCTCGGGTACATCAGTTTCCTTAGCCGAAACGTCTCCTTCCCCCTCCTCCGCCTCCTTAAGTCTGCTAAAATCTGCAGCAGCATCCGCCGCAACAAATGCTCAACTAAATGCACAAAGATTAGAAGAGGTAAAATAAATCTGCCATAGAGGTGAATTACAAACACGCACACACACATATTTTTTACTGTAAGCAATTTGAAAAGACTTGGTATTTGTAAATTTTCCAATTAAATAATTTTATAAAAAAAAAAAAACAAAACTGCATAATAACTCAACACGCATAATTTTGTTTTGCACACAAAAACAATTACTTAAGATATTAGATATATTTTTATAAAAAATAATTTTTATTATAGATTTTGTAATTTTAAGTTTAATTTGATATTTCAAATCCGTCCAATTTTCCTAAAAAGAAAAAAACACCTTATTTTTTATATAAATAAAAAGTAACACATATAAATATGTGTCTATATTAATTATAATTTGAATAAGTTATGTTAATTTGTATTTTCTAAAATATTTGGAATTATATTCTTTCTTAAAAAAATCATAAAATTTTAACCTCAAAAATGTTTGACAAAAAATAATATATTATTGAATAATATATATAACAAATATATATCAGCATTTTTTATAAAATAGATTTGAGTCAATATCCATTTGGTAAACATTTTTATAAAAGAAAAACATAACCCCTAAAAGTCTCAGAAAAAATGAAAAAGCGAAACATAACCTCAAAAGGTCTCAGAAAAAAGCAAAACATTTTTGTAATAATTTTTACTATTAAAAAATTACAATACTCTAACCTCAAAAAATCATTATTACGACTACATTATTCTAATCTCAAAAATTATCTGAAAAAAATTAAAGGATTTTTTTTTAATTTTTATTTTGAAAAAAATGTATATTCCAAAATTTTGTGGCAATTTTCGCTTGGACTTTTTTTTAATTATAACCTCGAAAATCAATAAAAATTTAAATGGTTAGAAATGTTTAAAAACATAATCCCATAATGTCTCAGAACAAAATTAAAAATCAAAACATAACCTCAAAAGGTCTCAGAAAAAAAGCCAACCATTTTTGTAATAATTTTTATTATTAAAAAATTACAAAACTCTCACCTCAAAAAATATGTATATTCCACTTGGATTTTTTTAATTAGAACCTCACAAATGAATAGAAATATAAATCGTCAGAAATGCTTAACCTAAAAAATGTAATATTTTTTTTATTTTAACCTCAAAATTTAATTAATGAAAAATTACTACAATCTAACCAAAAAAAATAAAAAAAATAATTAACATTTTCCGTTATATTTGGTTAAATTATAACCTCACTAATTAACAGAAATTTCTAACCTGTAAAATTAGATTTATTTAATTAAAAAAAAATATTACTTAACCTCAAAAATTATCTGAATTTTTTTGTTAGTAATAAAATATTGGTACACAATTTTCCTTTCTATCAACATGTGTAAAAAATTTATAACCTGTAAAATTCGATTTTTTTTATTTTAATATCAAAAAATATTACTTAACCTCAAAAATTATTTGAAATTTTAAAATTTGATTTTTTTATTAATTAGATATTGGTACACAATATTGTATTTTTGCTAAAATGTGTATAAATTTCCAAACTTGAAAATTGTTCAGAAAAATTAAATTCATAGTAATTTAAAAAAAAAATCTAACCCCAAAATTTAATTAAAATTAAAAAACACAATCTACCCACCCTCAAGATCCATAAAATTACAAATAAAAAAATATTTTTTCAAACTTTCATTAAAAACAAGAACCAGAATATCAAAACCACACAAATTGTCTGAAAAAAATAACAAATATTTTTATGAAATATATATTTTTTTTTTAATTTCTTTTATTTTTAATTTAAATATTTTGAGGATAGATTTTTATAAAATATATTTTATATTTTTTCTTTTATTTTTATTTTTAATTTAATTTTTAATTTAAATATTTTGAGGTTAGATTTTTCTTCAATTTAACAATTTTGAGGTTTGATTTCCGTATAAAAATATGTTTTCTTTATTTTCGTAATAGTTTTAAATCAAATTATTTGTTTATTTTGAATTAAGAATTTTAAAAACAATATTGTCAACAATTTTTTTTTTATTTAACTTAATTTTTTTTTTTTTTGTTAAAGAATATAATTATTTGCCATACGGTGAACACGAAAATTTAAATTTGAATTTTATATTCTAAATTAAACTAAAAAAACTGTGCCTACTATGCATTTTGAGGTTATGTCGAAATGAAAATTTCGATTTTTCGAAGACCGGGCTTCTATACATACATGGAGAGTGTTCTAAATATTTAAGTCATGAAAAGATTATCTTGTAGTCTCTTTATGTAGGCGAAAAATGTGCAGATATTTTATGAGGAATTTTGAGGTTAGATTTTTGTCAATATATATATTTTTTTATTATTATTTTTTTATTGAAGATAATTTTTTGCCATACTGTGAGTAACATATACACAATTTATTTTACCAAGTATCTATCCAAGTATCGAATTAAAGTAAAAAAATCTGCACTGGTATACATTTTGAGGTTATGTTGAAATTAAATGAAAGATTTTATTTTTAAATAACTGGGACTTCTCATTCACATTTCGATAATCGTGTTAAACAAATTAATAAAAAACATATTTAGGTTTTTTATTATTTTTTTTTTTAACACGATTATCTGCCATACAATAAGTAACATATTCAAAATTTATTTTACCAAGTATCTATATTCCGTAAAAAAAATCTGCACAGGTATATGTTTTGAGGTTATGTTGAAATTAAATTAAGGTTTTTATTTTTCTATAACTGGGACTTCTCATTCAAATTTCGAGATTGTTCTAAATGTAAAAGGCTTCTATAGGAAAATCTCAGAGATATTTGGGGATAACTTCCAAAAACTTTTTACATTTTGAGGTTAGATTTGCCATTATGTGAATTATACATTTTGAGGTTATGTTAAAAATCAACTTAAGCAAATTGAAACCTTTTAAAAGTGTAGATTCTGTAAGCTTTTAGAGCGTGTGTATTTTTGGAAAAGCGGAACTTCTAACCATCTTTGGAGAGTATTTAAAATATTAAAGTATCTTAGAAGACCCTCCCCACAAGCGTTTATGTAGAGTAATGATTTTAGGTAAATCTTCTAGGAAAAAATGGGAAAAAAACCTTCATAGATCACCCTACCTTGATCCTTCAAAAACAACCTACTTTGATCCTTAAGAAAAAATAATTTCTAGATATGGTAATACGTGTGAGGGAGGTTTAATTGCGTTCTAAACTTTTCGCTGTATCTCACTCTTTCTCATAGAGAGTCTCTCTCTTTGAATATTTATCTCCAAGACATTTTCAAAAATAAAGTTTTCGTTGTTTTTTTTTTTTTTGTTGATTTATGTTTTGTTTCTCTATTTAATCTTTTTTTATTTCGTTATAAAATTGTCCGTCCTATGTTAATTAAAAAAACAAGATTTTGCTTTAATTTTTTTATTATTTTATAAAAATATATATTCTTCTTAAATTCCCTTGTTTCCAGCAAAAGCTACTTAAATAAATTGCATTTCAAAGAGGAAAGCAAATAAAAAACAGCCCTTATAAAATGTTGATATTTTTTCCTTTATAAAAAAATCAAATAATTCTTTATTATATATTTTTTTAATAATTTCTTTTGTGATTTAATTTTTTATAAAAAAACTTTATTTCTATAAAAATTTTATTTTGTGATTTTAATTTTTTTTATAAAAAACTGTATTATGTTTCTTATCACCTACTAAAAAACTACAACTATACAAAATGTAAATATTATTTAAGCAAATAAAATTAATACTCAAATTCTATTAAAATAATTTAATAAAAACGTACTAATAACAATTTATCATAACAATTTATCATTAAAAAAGGAAATATGAAATTTATATGAAAAAATACATATTTGAAATGTGTGCAATTTAAACGAATGAGAAAACAAACAAATAGCAATTAAATAATATAATATTATTTATAAATACATAATAAAATATTTATAAAAAAATATATAAGACTTTACGATACCTTAACTCACCGAAATTAATCCTATTAAGCAATATTAAATATATACAACAAATAAAACAACAAAAAACATGAACTTCCAGTGTTAGTTTACTAATAATAATCAACAACAATATTTCAAAAAAAAAAATGTTCACAACTTAATACTTTGCCTAGGTCATATAGCAAATTAAAGAAAACACAATTATCATTTATTTCCTTGCCTTCATATAACCTAATTTGCTATATGACTTATGTATTTCCCAAACCATTTTTTATTATTATTTAATATTTAATTTAAGAATAAAACACACAGCACAAAAAATCATATAAGCAATATGTAAAATGGGGTTGACAATCTCAACAAGAATTCAACTCCCCAACTCATTTTAAAAGCAATTATTAATTTAATTTTATTATATACATATACTTCTATATACTTATTATTTTTTAAATAACTTTATGTTTTAAAACATCAACAAAATAAGCTACTTAATGCAATTTAACGCTCAACTAAATGATATACATGAAAAACAAACGCATATATATTTTATATATATTTAAAAAAAAATATTTTTATAGTTAAATAATTGTGCAAAAATAAAAATACAATTTAAATATATATTTACATGAATTGAAAATATTAAATAAACAAAACACACAAAAAGCATATTTAATAATCAAAATTAGTTTATTTTTTATTTATAGGGGGGATAATGGCCTATTAAAGGAGGTCTACGGGTGGCGAATTCATGCCTTAATCTTCTCTTGGTGTCAACTTTTTAGTCGCAAAATGCCAAACAGAATAGGATTGTAATAAAAAAATGTAGCAAACAGTAGATTAAGATTAGTTTTTAAATTAAATTTGGCACATTGTAATATTTTTACCAAGTAATTCCATAGACCTATCTGTCAGCAACACCCACTGACTGTTTTTTACTTTTTATACCCTTCACCACACTGTGGTACAGGGTATAATATGTTTGTGACAGGCAAAAGGAATCGAGATAGACCCATGGTTCAGAATATGCATAGCATCACTTTCTGAATCGATTTACGCATGTCCGTCCGTCTGTCCATCAATGTATTTTTGTGAACAAAGTACAGGTCGCATTTATGATCCGATTTGGATGAAATTTGGCATAGGTCACTTATTTGGGCCAAGGACGAACCCTATTGAAATTGGGAAAATTCGGTTCAGATTTAGATATAGCTCCTATAAATATTTTCGTCCGATTTAATGTAAATGATGCACCAAAGTCCCTATATATCTTTCGATTTGCACGAAATTTGGCACAGCGTTATGAATTAGGTCTAGAATGATATGTGTTAAGTTTCGTGAAAATCGGTTCAGATTTAGATATAGCTCCCATATATATTCGTCGTGTGTTAAGTTTCCTGAAATCGGTTCAGATTTAGATATAGCTTCTATATCTGACCAAATGAAAAATTTAGTATCGGTTGCAGAATGACATGTTTATGGATCCAATTTCATTTTACTGGCCCTTTAAAAATGCGACGTGTGTTAGGATTCATCTGTTGAATATACCCAAAGTGGTGAAGGGTATCATATAGTCGGCCTCGTCCGACTTTACTACGTTCCTTACTGGTTTTAATAATGGATAAATATGTTTTAATTTCCATTTAAAAAAAAATACAATTACATTTTGTAATTGTTATGCGATAGTATTGGTGATTTATTTTGGGATACAATTTGTATTTATTCCTTGAATGTTGATAATGATGATGGGAAGCTGATTCATCTTCTCTGGTAGTTCAAAGTTATACCCGGAACGTCCATCTGCTATACGATGCCGGTTTACCCGATTTCCTGACCAATTTTAGGTTACCAGATAGCTGCTAATCTTTAATCGATTTCTTGGTAATATCCTTGCCCACTCAGAAGTTCTTCAATCTGAGCTTCAAACGACTATATATTCTCTAGCTCTTTCAGAAGGCCATAGTAGTCCTTGAAGACCTCTTTTAACCACAAGCATCCTAACATTAATGCACTTAATGACATCAAATTATGGAAGAACCGTTCCAATTTTCACTTGACCGTTTTCCTTTATTGATACTTCAGATGGTTGTCCTTAGAATATATTTGTCAATAACAGAAGTCTTAGAATTAGGTCGTATAACTTATGAAGTCCTTCCGCCATCTAGGTAAAGAAGATCTAAAACAAAATTGTAACCATTAGCTCCCAAAGACCCTCAGAAGTCTACATATAAAATAAGACCACCAAGAAGTAATCTAATCAATGAGTCCCCTCAGAAGTTCTTCTAACCATAAAAGGCAATTAGTAGGACTTTTAACATTAGAATAACCCCATTATCTCTTCCCCCTTTAAAAAAATCTCAATGACTTTCCTAAGGGTATATAACTATATAGAATATTCTCAAAATGTAACTTGTAGGAGCCATTTGAAAACCGCTCAGTCGACGCTCTAACTACAAAAGAAACCAAACATCCACATTTTTAAATTCCACAAGTTAACGAAGCCTTTCCTTACCTTAAAACCTTAGAGCATTAATATTTTCTTCTTTTTTTATTTGTTTTTCAAAATTTTTATTTTTTATTTAATTTCTATTACATCTAAAAACCCACTGCTTATAAAACTAAACATCCACATATATCTTTTCTTTCGTTTGCTTGTCATCATATAATGGGCATATCCCTTAAGAAATCTACTGATTTGTGGTACGTCTATACCAAAATCTTGCACGAAAATCATCTGAACATGTTAGGAATGCCGGAGAATTTGGTGAGTGGGTAATAAAACGTACCGGGCCATTGTGACCCAATGACATTAAATTCAAACGACTGCCATTACGAGAATTCCATGAACACAACGATGTGGTGGCTTCATCCGGAAAGAGAACATAATCTTCGGTGTGATTGAAAACGGCCTGGGTATTGTGTTCTTGTTTACCGGTAGTACCGGCACCGGTATATGTCTGGATGGGACGACTGGTACACAATTCCCAAAGATAAACCAAGGAATTTTTACCCGATGAAAGGAGATACTGGAAAAACAAAAACATTTGTATTTATATCTTTTAATAAATATTAGAGATCGTCTTACCTTTCCATTTCGAGTAAATTGTATGGAAAATATTTCCGCACCATCATGTGCATCCGGTATGGTGTTGATACAACGACCACTAACACCATCCCATATTTTTATGCTACCATCAATACTACCACTGGCATAGAGTTTGGCGGTTGGAGCAAATGCCACACACGTTATAGAACCGTTGTGATGTTGCGAACCAATGGCACTGACAAAACACTGAGCCGTCTGAACATCATAGAGCCTTAACAATGAATGTTCTGTCCCGATTGCCATATAGTCACCAGATGGATGAAAACTTAAACACGTTACCGGTTCACAATCGGTAAAAACTTTATGGGCCTTCTTAACCGATGGCTTGGCAATGTCGAACAGCTTTACAGTACCATCCCTTGAGCCCGAGGCCAATATATGCTCCTTGGGATGAAATTCCAGATAGGCTACTTCATCGGTATGATCGTAAAGGGTACGTATAACAGGGTGGCCTTGTTGCTCACGTCCCGTATCCAATTCTTCGGGTGCCGATTTGGCCAACATACGTTCAACATCTAAAATTTTAATACTAGCATCCTGACTGCCGGTAGCCACCAGTGTGCCATCATGACTGAAGGCCCCCGCACGACATGATGCCTTGTGTGAGGTAACGTAGGCTGTTTCATAGGATGCCGGTTCGGGTGCCATGGCTGCTGCATCAGGTTCAAATTCCAAATCAATACAGGGCAAAACATCATCTTTGGGTGGAGGTTCTTTATCCGCTAATGTCTGCATGCCCGCAATCATTACATGCAGTAGACGTTCGCTAGGAGTGCATTCATCTGCCTTCACCAACATGGACAATTCCATGGCGAATTTTTCCAAACCATCGTACATAAGTTGGCTGTAGGGGAACAATAATTTGGTTATTCTGGCTACGAAAAATATCCCAAAAGTGGCTTACCTTATAATGAGCCTGTAGAGGATTTCCCGATTTTTCACCAGATTCCTGGGATCCAAGATTTGTATGTCACGCATTGTTATGGAGTTATAGGGTGAGTTTCAGAATCAAAAATTACAAATCCGTAGAAGAGTTAATAATGAGCAAGCAATTTGAAATTCCTAGTTCAGGGGTTTTCCGGCAGCTCTGAAGAAACTGCGTCCTCTGTGTGTTTAGCCGACACCGACAGAAATATTGAAAAACGTTCCACCTGTTACGAATGGGATGGGAAAGTCAAAATGCCCGGTAAAGAAGAAGTCAAAAAAGAAGACGGATAGTTCACATACAGAGTTTGCAACCCTGTAAACTGAAGTGAAAGCAAAAGAGCCGAGGACCAACCAACAGCTGATCTTGTTATTCTTTATAAAGTGCTGCCAACATATATTTTTTTTAATAAACACGTCAAATATATTTTTTTTTAAACAAAAAAATTGTTCTGAATTTTTTTCTATACAAAAAACAGGTTTTCGAAATTTTTTCTATACGAAAAACAGGTTTTCGAAATTTTTTTTATACGAAAAACAGGTATTCCAAATGTTTTCTCTATGAAAAAAAAATTATTTAAAATTTTTTTCTGAAAAAAATTATTTCGGTTTTTTTCCATACGAAAAAATGTTTTCGATTTTTTTTTCTATACGAAAAAAATGTTTTCGAATTTTTTTCTATACGAAAAAAATGACCTCAGTGGGAACTGAGGTCTGTTCGAATTTTTTTCTATACGAAAAAAATGTTTTCGAATTTTTTTTCTATACGAAAAAAATGTTTTCGAATTTTTTTCTATACGAACAAAATGTTTTCGAATTTTTTTCTATACAGGTTTTTTCGATTTAAATTTTCCTCTCCAAAATCTATTAAAAAAGCAAAAGAAATCATAAACAAGATATTTTGCCATTCGCCATACTGTTTGCGCCATTATCTAAGGTATACCATACTCTCAAAGTAGGCAACACTGTTATAGGTAAATATGTTTGACATTTGACGCTACATCTTCTCTCCCTCGCACTCTCCTCTCACAGTTCATATTGAGTGAGCACGTGTAAACATTTGTTGTGCATTTTGGAATCACACGGTTTATTTATTTAAAAAATAGAAATAATTAATTAATTTAACAAATTTACAATGAAAATTCGTAAAAATCATCGTGGGAAACGTTATCGTTACAATGTGAATAGAAAAACTTTGAATAAAACCAGATCCTCGACGGGTAAAATCAAGGAGTAAGTAAACAATGAATTTCCAGCATGATGTTTGATTTTAATCAAAATCCAAAATGTATTTTACAGCCCTGCCTTTAAGAAGCTATGGGAAGACTCCAAGAGGCCGGGTACAAATTTCAAAGAAATGGGCCTGTGTGTAGATCCCAATAAATCGGTGCCAATACCAAATTTCAGAAAAGATCGTTTGAAAATTACAAAATTGGTAAATGGATTCGAGGAAGAAGAAATTACCGAGGATGATATTAAACAAGCAGAAGAACCCAAGAGGGGACATGTTGTTGCCGAAATGGAAGAAATGGCCAAACAAAAGGCGGAATCGAAATTCAGGTATAGAATATCAGAAAATATTAGATTTATTAAATTTGTATTTTAACTATTTTGTTTGTTTTTCTTTTACTCCAGATTACCGAAAGGTGTCGTTAGCCATATTTCATATTTCATGGATAAATATAAATTCAACTACAAGGCAATGGTTACCGATCGTCGCAATCACGATCAATGGACGTGGAAACAATTTCGCATGAAAATTAAACAATTCATGAATATCAAGGAACAATTTAATGTGTATTTGGAAAAACGTAATCTACCGCTGGATAAAGAATTAGATTGGGAAGAATATAATTCGGACAGTGAATGGCAGTAGATTTGATTTTCTATTTTTCTGTATAGATTTAATGGAGCCTTTATTAGTATGTAAGTTTGTTTATTCTTTTAGTTTAGAATAATAAATATTAAAAGAAATGTAAAAAAATTGTGAAGAAATTTTAGATATTTTGTAGGGATTTTTGGATATAGATTATCTATACTAATAAAAGAGTAAAGTGATTGACTGACTGACGCCCAGACGAAACGGCTGAAGCTAGAATCTTACAATTTTGGGTGAGGGTCACTCTTGGTCCAAAGGTGTTGGTGTGCGCCTTTAAAAGGGGTAACCCTGAAAATAATTGATAGCTCGAAGAAGAAGAAGAACAATTACTAGGAAACAGCTGATTATTCCAATTACTTAAATGTCAATATTAGGGAATAATATAAGAAGAAAATGGAAAAATTAAACGAGGAAAATGGCAGCCAGAATTTCCTGGCAAAAATTGTAAGAAAAATCTGCCCTTTTTGATTTTGCCTGCGAAGAAGATTGGATGCGTGGCTCCCTGTAACCGTCGAAGAAAAAAAAACAACCAAAGTTTTTGAGAAGTGAATTCATCTGGTTTATTTGTTGAAACACATACACAAACAACACAAAATACAAACTATTTTAAAGAAAATCTGAAGCCTTTAAATAATTAAGCAACATTAAACGAAAAAAAAGGCTAAAAATTGAAAGGAAATTTATAACAAAACAAATAGTTTTCAAAAAATTGAAAATTAAAAGAAAATTGAACCTTTTTTTAAAATTAAACAAAGTTTGAAAACAATTTAACAATATTGAAAAAAAACCCAAACAATTGACTAAAATTCTAAAGCAATGAATATAAATCTTAAACCTAAAAATTCATGAAGAATTGGAGCCTACAAGCCACACCATCGCCCATCCAATCCATCGAGGGAGGCGCAGAGTTTACGCCATTGCTGCTCCAGCGTGGCTTGGTATCATTCCCAATTGACACTGAAACTTATTTAACTCCGGACAGACAGACGGACGACTAAGCTACATAATTAAATTCCGCGGTTTTTCCTGAAAAGAATAAATAAATTAAAAGGGTGAACAAACGAGTTAATATTAAATTTTTTACTTACTTTGTGTTGGTATGCAGGTACGCGACATTGAACTGAGCTCAATTCAAGGTTAGGTTACCAGGCATTGTTTAGATCGTCGATTTAATGTGGTATCGACCTACATTCCTTTGTTCGTCCTCATCTGGAATTGAAAGCAAGAAAATTATTATTTACATTCTGACCGAGGAATATAATTAAAAAGCTGAAACACGAACTAATTCGTACATACTTACGTTTTGGGAAAAAGCCTTAGTCACAAGCTGCCGTCAAGGTTCTACACTCTGGGTGCCCGCCGTTAAGCCCTAAAAGTACAAAAAGAAAAGAATACTTTCGAAAATTGATTTTTATTGGCAATTCTTTGTTTTTTTTCTGAAATTTTTATATTATAATTCGCTGTAAATTGTTAGATTTTGATTCAAATTACGATGGAATGAATTGTTTTTTTTTTGCCAAATATGTAATATAGTTTTAATAAATATGTACTGGATTAAACCTGAAAAGATAAAAATGTCTTCGGCTTAAAGCCCTATTAAAAAGGTGGTGGGGATGGGATAAAATATGGTAAGTCAAGGGTCAGATCTGGGACGTCCAGTATGAGTAGACGTCATGGCGAGAGGTGTTCTCGGAGGGAGGGCTATCTCCTGGCTGGTCAGCCGCCAGGAGCACTGTTTCTGTGAAGAAAACTAATGTTATTTTGGGATTTGGTTGCAGTTAGGTGAACGTTTTCTTCTATTTAATTTTTTTGTTGACATGTTTCAGGCTTCTTTTTACCCCCTTTTTGATTTAGTTTGAAGTCCGGTATGATTTTTTTTTGTTTGTTCAACCGAAAAGATCTGCAAGTGGCAAGAACCAACCCCCAATCCGACGAGCCATAGCCGCGCTAAACGACAGCATACCGGCAACGCCACTTAATGGTCAACACAGCGATTTCATTTCGTTTTTCTTGAACACGGTTGTTACAAAATGGCGCCCAGAACGTGGGGCCTGAGACATGTTAGCTTTTAATAATTTTTAGTCGTATTGTGTAAATGTGTTTACCATGAATCTTTAATGAGTCCCGTCTAGGTTTAATTAAGAGTCCTGACGCGTTGCTTCATCGAAGACTCAGGTAAACATCATTTATATTTGGGAAAAATATGATTTTTATTATTTTTTTTTCTAGTGGCTTAGTCGTTCTAGTTTAATACTTCTAATGGCACTAGCTTTTTAATAAACTTTCATATTTTAGTAAAGTTAAAATTTCAGATTTCTTAAAGTTATATCGTTGAAGAAATTCGTCTGGTTTATCAGTTCTCATTTGTGGAGACCCGTCCAAGCAGCCTATAAGAAGGCAGGTGACGCGCTGCTACGCAAATATGAATTGTTATTCTCAAACGAATTTGTTAATTTGGGTTTTTTAGATTTTAGTTTCTGTCTATATTTAATTTCAGTACCCGGAATTTGGTAGCTGATCTCAGACTTACCTAGAGTTTCCATTCGGTCCTGCGACAATTTTGGCTTCCGACCATTGGTCGTATTGTCATGGAATCTTTTAAGGGAGGTCTGAGTAAGCCGCCTATTCCATTTTAATTTTTCAGTCCATTTCAATTCTAGTTTTGCCAGTGTAGCTCACCAAATCCCTGTAAAAAGTGAAACATATTAAAATTCATACAGAAACAGTTTATTTGACCTTGACTTACCACTATTTTGACCAGAAATCCACCACCTAACATTATTTGAATTTTTCCAGTTTATTTTCATCAAAATTATTCTGCCGGATAATAGAATTTGTAAAAGTGAAAAGTGTGAATTAATTGTGAAAGAACTGAATTACATTGAATTTATTTTTTTAGTTTACTTACCACAATTGTTTTTATTTTTTTTTTTTCTTTAATTCAAACCACCGTGTGGTTTACTTTCGAGCAAATTCTTTTGACAGATTTCTTTTTGATTTTTTATCGCTTTTTCTGAATTTTTTTTGTTTACTAATTTGGTTATATCAAAAAGCAATATGCCTCTTACTAGAGCTGCGAGTGCAGGTTTGGCAGGTAGACCGATATTAGGGCAAAATGGGGTGGTAACCACTTCCGAATCTACAGCCGTAAGCAGTGTTGTTACCGCGGTTCACAGCGCACCTTCTAACGCACAACAGGTTACAACTGCCGCGCATAGTGGTCCCATTGCTTCTCATATCGCACATTTAGCACATGGGGACGTCCCAGCTCAAGGTGTTTCATCATCAATGTCCAATTCATCGGCACCGCCACCAGTTCCATTAAGCATGCAAGAGGCCGCTAACTCGTTTAACACGTCTTTTTGGTCACATGGAAGCGTTGCCTCGCCAAACTATAGTGTTTTGACCGGGTTGCAGAATAGACCAGTTGTCCCGCCAGCAGATCCAGCAGTCAGCGCAGGAGTCAGGGAAATTATTAATTCTGCCATCGCCCTGTCCCAATTGCAGTACCGTCAACAGGAAGAAGAAAGATTGAGAGCTCTGATACCTCGAATTGCTGAAGCGGCCAAGCGTTCGTTGTTGGGAGACAATGACGGCACTAATCAAGTATTTTCACAAGCCGGCTTGGCGATGCCAGCAGCGGCACCACATGCACCAGCGCGCACATCCCGGGAGTCAGTCATTCTGTCTTCACATGCATTGGCGTCAGGCTTAACGTCTCAGCAGCCTAATTTAGCAAGGGGTTACACACTACCATATCCGGAGCGAGTAAATCCACCACCGATTCACGATCCTAGACCGTTGTCACTTGGTCCTTTTAACCAACCGCCACCAGGGTTCACATCAAGTGGTGCACCAGCACAACCACCAACCAGCTTATCGGTACCACCACCAGTCGCCGGAGTCCAAACTCACACAATACTGCCGGCCGAGAGGTTGCCTAATATCTACAGCAGAGGCATGCGGACAGAGCCACACGAGACACATACCAGTCCACATCCCAGCAATATCATCTCAGAAATCTCGGGGCGTTTTAATTTGGCGAAATGGGGAGTATCTTTTGATGGTACCGACAAAACCATGAGCGTCCAAGAATTCATCTTCAGAGTGGGTGAACTTAAAAAAGATTATAATTGCCCTGATGAAGTATTGATCACCAAATTTCACCAACTTTTGGAAAAACCAGCTCTCGATTGGTATTGGAACCACCGGAAATTGGTCCAGTTTCGCACATGGAAGGAGTTGGAAAGTGCTTTGTTGGCGCAATACCAAAGATTTGAAAATGAATTCCAGCTTCAAATGCAGATTTTAAATCGGCGTCAACTACCACATGAGAATTTTGAAGATTTTTATAATGATGTACTGCGGCTACGGACACAGCAAAAGTCGCCATACAGGGAGCACGAGATAGTGGAAATAATGAGAGGCAACCTTAAGCCGTCTTTAGCCCAAATGATCTTCTCGGCTCAGATAAATAGCTTGGGTGATTTTTATAGGCAGGTGAAGAAAGCCGAAAATCTGGTATGGACCCAAAGACAGCAACGCTACAACACACCACAGAAAGTGCATGAGCTTGAATGGCAGATGGAAGAGGAACCTCGAGGCGATATTGAAGTTGATGCCGTGACCATGACATCCAAGTATAAATGTTGGAACTGCGGTGTTATGGGTCATAGCTGGATGGAGTGCCGGGAGCCTCGAAAGATTTTCTGCTATAGGTGTGGCCAAGAAGGTGTTACCGTCCCCGATTGTCCGAAGTGTCAGGGAAACCGGCACAGGAACCCACCTCAGTCTGGGCAGGTGAGGTCAACCCCAGTTTAAGCCCAGAGCAGAGTAGTAGTAGTTCCAGTATTAAAGTTTCTATTTTGAAGAATGTAGAGCAAGAAAGTAGAAAGTCAGAAGTAAAACCGAGATTGAGAGAGTTGAAACCACTTCATATCAGAGTAAGAGAATATTGCGAGGCGAGAGAAAGAATTTTTGGTCAAGTTTCCAATAAAATTAAGAAGGCTAGAGAGCGATATAAGAGGAGAAGACGCATTCGTCAGGAAATAGCCTCGGCTACCCTATTTGAAGGCGAAGATAATCGTTTATATACCAAACTGCATATCAATGGTGAAGAAATAGAGGGATTGCTAGATAGCGGAGCCTCCGTTTCCTGTCTGGGGAAAAATTGCCTTAGCTTTGTGGAGAGAGCAGGATTGGAAATTAAGCATTTCCATTCTTTTATTAAAACAGCAGATGGAAGCCCACATAAAATAGTTGGCAGGGTGACGACTAATGTAAAATTTAGAAAGCAGGAGCATCCTATCATATTCTATCTTGTTCCTTCTCTGAGCCGTGAGTTGTTTCTGGGGGTAGACTTCATGAAACGTTTCCAAATGTTTGCTCAGGTGGACGGTTTGTCACTCCAGGAAGTGAGTCTCTGTGGTGAGCCAGAGATCAGTGATGTTAACAGCCATTCTTTAGACTAAAGCTGAGGTCCATTCAATCGACACCCGCGATGCAACCCCGGTGAAAGATAGGCATTATCCCGTTTCCCCGGCTGTGCAGAAACTTATGTATGCGGAATTGGATAGGATGATAGAGCTAGGTGTGATTGAAGAGAGTTGTTTGGCTAAAGCAGGACTCACAATAAATGTAACCAAGTCGAAGTTCTGCTTCAAAGAGCTTAGGTACTTGGGTTACATTGTTGGAGGTGGCAAACTTAAAACTGATCCGGCAAAGGTGGAAACAATAGTGAAGTTTACATACCCGAAAACAGCAAAGCAAGTGAGGAGTTTCATGGGTACGGCAGGGTGGTATCGAAGGTTCATTGCCGACTTTGCCACCATTGCGGCTCCCATCTTCGAAACCCTCAAGAGAAGGAAAACGATTCACTTTCCCAGAGGAGGCCAAGGTTGCATTTGACAAACTGAAACAAGCCCTTGTAAGTAGTCCTGTCCTGACACACCCAGACTTTAACAGACACTTCTATGTTCAGAGCGATGCATCAGACTTGGGAATAGGAGCAGTATTAT